CGCGGCCATCCCCCTTCAAACAGAAGTTTGTGGTACCGGGATCCGGGTTAAGGAGCCTTGGGGTCCGCTCAGGGACTTCTGGTTTCGTCCCCCGAATTGGGGTCCGAATCCGAGATTGCCCCGATGGGGTAGCGTTTAGTCCAGCGAAAAGAGTTATGGAAAAGATTACTTTCGGCGTTACTTCCTCCGCGGCTGACCAACAACCGCCCCTCAACACCGTCTGCGCGCCGTCCCCCACGCTCAGCGCTCGGCTGGACCAGGGGAGACGTGTGGATGGGGTCGATCTGGATCCCGGCGCCTAAGATCCCATCAGCGTAGAAGCGACCGTAAGCGGCTGCTTTAGGATCGAGGGTGGGGGAATATACATAGCGTCACCTGGACTGATAATATTCCGCATCACCCCAACAGCGTGGCTCACTGAGTCATTACGCAATGTGGACTCTGAGGGACCGCCCGAGGTACCCACTGTATCCGACGCAAATGAACTGCCACCCCTCAGCCTAAATATGTGGGCGAGAGCGTGTTCAAGAGTGCGTCTCATGACAGGGAACGCCTGTGGGTCGGCGAGAAGGGAGTCGAAACCCACAGCTGAACTCGGACTTGAGGGTAAATTAACTAGTCCGGTACTGCGTGGTGAACCCTGGCTGGTTGAAAGCGGGGGGGGGGGGGGTGTACAATGTATGTCCTGACCCGAACGCCCTGCCCCGAAAACGTAGTCCTGGCTACCAGCGTCCCCGTTGATGCTACGTATCTGAGGTTCCCGAGGAGACCTGCTGCCACTAGCCTGAGCCTCGGCCTCCCCCGAATCAGCGGGGGGGAGGGGGGGGTCACGGCTGGGAAGAGACGTGTTTAGAATGCGAATGGTGCTTTCTGTGTTTCTTCCTACTTGCCCGCTGAGAGGCCGCAGTGGAGACAGCTCGCTCCACCTGCAGGTGATCTAATTTGCCCTGACAGTCCTTCGACCAATGCCCTCATTTCAGCGGCAAAACCGGCGCCGTGCGAGGATGGGTCCACAACGGGACCCAGCGCGGGCCTCATAGGAGGAAAGACCTACGAACCCCAGCGATTACACATATTCTCTGGGCAGACACCGGAACGCTGAACGCATGTGAAACAAAGATAACACTTTGAATGCGGGTTCCATTCCTGCAATTGCTGCGTACACTGAGTACAAATCCGCCTCAAAAACTGAAGAGACAATACCGGCGGTGAGACTCTGGCATTGCCAGTGCATCTGTCCATTTCTAAATACATAAAAAATAAAAGACGACATGCATGAGGGAAACGAATTACAGTTGTAAAATGTGCCACCATGAAATCAACATGTGACTACGTAGTGGCACCGGGTTTGATTTCTTTGTTGTGGAAAAGCATAACACACAAAGGGGAAAACGACACGTGGGTAAAAAGACAAGAAAAACTTATCCTACCAGCTAGAATGTTGGATGCCGCGGCTGCGGCGATGACCCACGCTAGAAACCCGGACAGGAAAAAGCAACAGAGCCAGGCAGAGCCGCTCAGAATCATTCCCCGATGAGGCGAAGAGAACTGAAGAGTGATGGACGGCTACCTATGGCGTTGCCATGTGGTCTCGGTCATGTGGGTTCGTGACGTAAGGGGTAAAAGAATCTTGAGGTCATGGGGCTTCCCCTGACCTAGATTCTATCTCTGTCACCGGCAGAATCACTGATTAATACCTACAGTTCAAAATAGTCATTTTGACTAACCGGAGTCTATGGTGGGTAATTGAACATAGTGAATTTTCCATCATTGGTCATTTTGAATTCAAACTGAAAAAGCAAAGTGTGTGCACCAAGGTGCAATTAAGTTCAATGTTTGTAACAAGTTTGAGCAATATCTGACCAGGTATGAATGACGTCTGTCCATGCATGACTGAGATCTAGGTCTGGAATCACAAAAATGCTTGATTTTGATGAATTTTTAACATTATTGCTGCCATTTAGTCATCTTGAATGCATAATATTTTGATTAAAATAAAATGGCCACCAATATTCTATTTTAAATCTGAACTGAAAAACAAAAAGACAGACATTATGAATGATGTATGCAACATGTTTGAAGAAAGCTAAACAAGATCAGACTCTAGAATGACAGAAATGCTTCATTTTGATGAATTTTTAGTCAAAAAATTATTGCCATTTGGCCATCTTGAATTTAATCTGGAAACAAGCGCATGTTCATGAGCATCCCAAGATGCAAGATGTATGTGTGAAGTTTGAATGAGATCCACACAGGCACGAATGAGATCAGTCCAGACAGATGGACCCACACAGACATGAAGATGCACACACACACACACACACACACACACATACATACATACATACATACACGTCTTACTGTTGTTGTAACGACACACATTGGATTAACTTTTAATATAGTTGCCATATGAACTTGATTAAAACACATTCCTATATAGGGTTGAGTTTAATTAAACTCAATTACAATGCAATTCAACATAGTATTCTGTTTTAAATCAAGTTTAACTAAATAAAAGTTGAATATCCCGTGACTGAACATAGAAATATTTGCAAAGCTTATGTTTAGTAAAGGTACAATTATATGAATATAAAACTTGACTGAAATTCGATTAAATATTAATATAAACTATGAAAATAGGGAGGGTTGTCACAAGTTGGTGTAAAGTTAAATTGAAGCCGTCACATCGTTGTTACCACCATGGAAGGTACTAACGGAAGGAGCCACAACGCCTATCAAGTGGCCACTTAAGCCTCCTAACTGGCTTATTTCCTTTTGTTTCAACCCAAATTAATCCTGATAAGGACATTGCCTAGCTCATCTTAGATGTCAATGATAGTTTGCGATTGTTTACACAAGTAACGAGTTAGCAGAGTATGATAAAACCCCGCCATTTTTTTAATGTGACTATAAAATATATGTGCATTATGAAACTACAGTCATCACACATGCGCACTTAGTTTGTTTAGGTGTAAAAAGTCAAAATACGTATTTTACTATCGAAAATTCAACAGGTGAACGTTTGACAAATTTCACATGTATTAATTATTAGCAACTGTAACTAGAACAAGATTTCGAGTGCCTACAACAACAATTCCTAAGGACTCTTAAAAAATATTATCACAGGAAAAGTGTCTAGGCATGATCTTCTTTCGATACTATCTTTTTTGTTGGTGTTCGCCGATGTCCGGTGGTCAAAAATTTCGACAGTTTCGGGTGCCAAACCAACGCACTGACAATGGTACCATTGAATAATGCATTCGTCACAAGCATTGATTAAGTCTCATTATCATTACAAATACAAAATTCACGATATTTCATCAGTTCTCCAATCAATGTTATATCTGACAATTTTCCATTAAAGTTCGCCAAGAATTCCGGAAACAACAGCATTCAAACAAGACGCCATTTTCAATATTGTACATGCGAGGTTCGACTATCGCTTTCAAACATGCTCCGACTATTACTGAATGCTCGAGATTAGCGTAACAATTGTACGCAGGCGCTAAAAGCTAACAAGAACAATGTTTGTGAACAAACACTGACAAACAATCATAGGGTAAAGCTAAAACAATAGCGCCGTGGCTCCTTCCATTAGTACCTTCCATGTTACCACACACGCACACACAAGTGTCAATCCATAAAGTCATTTACATAAGCATAACCAATAATACAGCATATATGGTATTACATTATAACTAGAACAATGAGATTAATTCCTATTTTACAGATTGAGTATAAAACTGACATGAAAACATTAGTACCAATACACACCTTTCCATCTGTGAAGTCTGCCCATGCTGCTAAACTTCCATAACCAATTAACATACACGCCCCCAAGGAGGATATGATGGATAAAACAAAGCTATCACGAACCTTAAAAAGACAGTTAGCATAAATATGTTACGATATGATACCTTTACATTATAATATTAGATTACCATACTATACTCATCCGACTTAGCATACACCACAACTTTTTGGGCATTTATATCAATTCCAACAGTTTGTACTTTGACATTGATTATTCTTTTCCGCATTGCGTTTCAAGAAGGCTCTGGGCAATTTCCAGAGAATAGAGTCGGTACAACACAGCATTCTGATTGGGTAATAACAGACTTGACCTATCAGGTCAAAGGACGTTGTTGGAGGTCAATTTGTGAAGAGAACATCACAGCAGAAATTGCATTGCATCATATAGGTGTGTTGAAGTTCATTGTCGAGTACTTACTAATTTACTGCTAATGTCCGTTTTCAGAGCATATCCAACTGCACCAGTTGTCATAAACTGAAGTTAAAAAAATCACAATTCAGAATTACGTGGAATTTCACACTTAAAACACTTGAAATTGTGAGATATGCCTTATTGTAACAAGCTAAAAAAATGCTGTATATGTACATGTAGGAAGAGTTTTTTGGCGATCCGCTCCGCTAGGATTACCCTAGGCTCATAATCACTTTTGTCGTTTTGTGTGTGTGTCTGTGTGTGTGATTTCCAGTGTTTTCACATATGATTTCTTCTGTGATTTTTTTGGCTTGGTCAATTTCTTTCAAACTTGGCAGGTAGGTCACACCTTTACCCTAGTTATTAGTAAAAATCTGTAAAAAAATTTTGGCCCACCGTTGCCATAACAACAGCCAAAAAACTGATTTTTTGATAGCTTTGCGCCAAATGTATCTCCTACAAATTTGGGATAAAACACATCAGCTCATTCTACTCAGCTTGAGTGTGGGCACAAAGTTACTATTTGAATTTTTGATATCTTTTTTCATTACCGAGAAATTTGACCCCAAAGTTGGGGTAACTTTTCACCAGCAACGGCAACTCTTCTGTGATTTTTTCGACTCGGCTGATTTTGTTCATACTTCACAGGTAGGTCGTGCTGTCACTAATTGGAAAAAAATCCTGGCCCACCACTGCCATTGCAACATCCAAATTGATTTTTAAATACTTTCGCCCCAAATGTATTACCTCCTACCAGTTTTGTACACAGTCAGCTGGCATTGGTGTCGCTGGGTGTATATGATAAAGGAAAGTTGTGCAACCAAATTTGCCAAGTTTGCAGTTTTTCACCAATAAAAAAACAACTAAGGCAAAAACTCACGGTTTTTCAGCATTTTTGTAATAAAGACATTATTCTCTACCAATAGAGGGGGGTGAAACGAAAGAGCCATATTTAACGCTTAAAAATAGAATGTGTATTTTGATCTCTATGTAACCAACCAAT